TTTACATGGGACTTGAATTTTTAGTATGCCATGATGAGAATTGTTTATTTCATTTTTCTAATGCAAGTTTTAAGAAGTAAATATGCCAAAGTAAAAATATAATGCAAAAAGTAAATATGGATAACTACCGAGTTACCTCCCGGTGAGGGTTCGGAATTTTAAGTCCACCGAACTAGACTTCTCCATTCGGGTTCATTCTTCAAGTGTATCCTTCGGTCCCAGAGATGGAGACCCTGATACTTGCTTCTCATGCCATTCCAAATTGGAGCATTGTTCTGGTCTTGGCTTGAAAGCGAACCGCTCTTCCTTTTCGTTAATATGAAATTTGATCTCTCCTACTCTGACATCAATGTGCGCATTTGTAGTGCTCAGGAAGGGTCTCCCAAGAATGAGTGGTGTCTTCATGTCCTCCTGCATGTTAAGTACCACAAAATCTATAGTTACAAAGAAATTTCATATTTTTACCGTAATATTCTCAGCAATTCCTGCAGGGTAGCGGACCGATTGGTTGGCTAGTTGTAAGCACATTGATGTTGGTGTGAGTGTTGAATAGTTGAGCTTGTCGAAAACCTTCTTGGGCATGACACGGACACTTGCTCCAAGATCGCATAACGCATTCTCAAAGTTCTGGTTCTCGATCGAACAATCGATAGTGGGGCATCCTGGATCCTTCTTCTTGACTAGTGAAGAGCTTAGGATGGCTGCACTACACTCCTCCATTAACTTGATTACCTCAGTGGAGGGCAGTGGTATTTTGTTGTTGAGGATGTCTTGAAGATACTTCACATAAGTAGTCACCTGTATGGCATCTAGCAACAAAATATTGATATATAACTTTTCAATTACCTCTACAAACTTACCAAACTGCTCATCCATTTTGGCTTTTCGATTTCTACGTGGAAACGGTAGGAGGATTGTGTCATGAAAATCTTGTTGTAACTCTTGCTCTTGTGGCCCAACTTCTTTGTCATTCTCCTTCTCCTCTTCCTATATTTCCACTAGTGTCTTACCTGTCCTTGTCAGATATGGTGGATCATGAGTAGATTTGCCACCTCTTGTGGTTATGGCATTGACTTCTCAAGGTTAGTGGAAAAAAAGGCAGAGCAGAGGCCAACTGGGCTCATTGACATTCTATCTTTTTATTATAGCTAAGTTGGTCTTGTATGGCAGAAGAAAAACTATCCATTTTAGTATTTATATTTTCTAGGACCTTATCATTAAAAGCAATCTTCTTAGAAATACTCTCATTAATCCTAGCTTGTTCTAAGATTATGTCTCTTAAGGATGGTTGTTTAGGATTGGAAGAATTATAATAATTACCTGGGTACTTACCTTGGTAAGTTTACCGTCATTGATGATTCCATCCTTGTCTCTATTGTTGTGAACCTGAATTATTGCTGACGATGTTTGCATCCTCTTGATATTCAGGGAATTCAACCCCCAAATATTCCCCACATATATTTTGAGCATTCAAAGCATCTTGAATGGCCTGATGATCTTTCTTGTAATTGTCTCGCTGTTCAAGCCAATTCAAAAGTACATCCATCTTGGTTGATAGTGCACACACCTCTTCTGGTACTTCTTCACTCTTATTGCATGATTGAATATTGCATGATGACCAGTCTTGATTAGAGGCTATCTTTTCCATTAGAGTCTCAGCTTTTCCAAGGGTGAGTGACATAAATGATCCTCCAGCAGTGGCATCGAGTTGTTCATGGGCTTTCTGAGTTAATCCATGGTAGAAACTTTGCATGAGCAACCAATCTTCCATTCCATGATGAGGGCAATCTAAAACATATTCTTGAAAATGTTCCCATGCTTTTGGAAGGTCTCTCCTTTCTGCTGTTGGAAGTTTGAAATCTTTCCTCTTAAGGCATTGGTCTTGCCTATAGGGAAAAACTTTTCTAGGAAGGCCTTTGAACACTTTGCCCATGTATTGATGTGATCTTTGTTAGTGTCGAACCACTGCTTCGCTCTTCCCACAACTGATAATGGAAAGAGGCAGAGTAGTATGATGTCTTGAGCAACGTCCTTGATGACGACCATGCTACTTATCTGTAGGAAATTGTAAAGATGAGCACTAGCATCTTCATGTGCCTTTCCACTAAATAGGGTAGCTTGCACCATGTTGATGAGGCTTAGCTTGAGCTCGAACTCAAGATTATCGGTTTTGAGTGTTGGTCCAGTGTGAATGTTCTCTGTGCTTGGAGCAGAGAACTCACGCAGAGTCTTGTCAGACATAGCTTAAGAAACTGGTGTTGAGATTCCTCTTTATTCAATTGATTCTGATTGATAGAAATTGTTAAATCACAACCAATCCTGCAATACCCTGTATAAGATATGAACAAAGACAAACAAGGGTAAGCCTGTTAAAGCAGAGGTTATGATTTTATCAATAAGTATTTATTTGGTCAATTCTCTTAGCCATGTGCCCCTCCCCGGCAACAGCGCCAGAAATGCTTGTTGACATTTCTTAGCATCCCTCTTAACTAAGTTGTCAACCCTAGCATGATGCTAGAAATGCGTTGTTGGTAGTTATGAGAACACAAGTAAACTATATATATAAGGTATCCGCAAGCACACAGATAATTTACCATTGTAGCATTTCACCCGGGAGTATACCGAGTATTGTTATTTATATTTTATCCATAGGGAGGAGCCATGGGGTTGTGTTGGCATAAAGATATTAACAAATATGTATACTTATGATAAAACCACTCTCATGCTATGGTAGGGGTAAGTCAAGTGATAAATAAATGATAAGTGTAAGGTAATAATGGTGTTCCAGAGTTAGAAATAGATACTCATAAAATGTAGTAAGGCTAAGCATGAGATTCGTTAAGAGCAAAAGATTCCTAAGCATTACTTATCTACTAAGTCTTTTGTACACCCAAGTATATACACTCTCATCTATAGTATAACTAACTTTGGATCTATGCATAAGGAACATTACTAAGGAAGATTAAGAATATAGCTTGTCTTCCTTCGCAATCACGTTCTACGTGCTCTAGAAACTAGGAGTGGACTACAAATGACTCAATGGGAGTGTCACATCCAAGATCTACCACATGACCTAGAGTGTAGAATGCATCCATAGGCAAACAATATCTTAGCACCATGCTTACATAATGTCAACCACTTAACTCTCTCGAGAACTAAGCTAAGAGCTTTGCAAACATATGCATATATTCATCATCAATCATAACTATATCAAACATATTACTAGAGCAAACTAGGAACATAATAAATAGCAACATAATATTGAAGTAGCACAAAGTCATAAATAAAGAGATACAATGGCTATACTAGTATCCAGATGGCAGATCTAGAATCCTGAGCGATAGCCCAAACAATACTTGAACCTTGCTAGCTAGCCTATACTAAAACCTTGAAGAATTAGAGCTCTATTCTCTTTTCTCTAGAAACCCTAATTTCTGGTCTAATCTTGACTTATGGCAACATGCCCTAGAGGGGGGCAGGGGCTGGTTATATAGGCCGAGCATCCAACATTACCCCTTGGATCAAACTGACATAAAGGACGGCATAGATGCATCCTAGGAGGTGGTGGGAAACCGACATATGAAGGAGGCTGATAGGTGGGTCCCCTAGGGGCCAGGTGGCCTCTAGGTAGGACCGGCTGGCCCTCCTGGCAGTGGCTTAGTCCCCACTTCGATGTGGAGTCCTCTCGAGTCTTCTAGAACCTTCTAGAGTTGATTTTGCTACGGATAAGCATGATTTTTATTGACACTTTGATCCTCCTTGATGGTTTTCTGGATAAGTCCAGCTAAAAACACAGATTCTCCAAAACTTGTGGAAATTATCAGTTTAAACCCCTAAGTCTATGTTGGTGATCCTTTTTATGCATTTATCAAGTAAAGTTAACTGTTTATGATGAATGATAACTACCATCAACATTCACTAAGGTGAATTATGACTTCTAAGCAAAGTCAACGCGTTTTCAAAACCAAATTCAAATTCTTTTACAATTTGATCAAACCTAATCATCACAAAAATAAATATGCAGCAGCATGTATGCACAAACATGTAGTTAGACCTTATAGTTGATTTTAATTTAACAAAAGTTATTATTTATCTAAGTTTGTGTGCACACACAAATACATAAATAAATCAAATTATCCTATTTTAAAATGATGCAAATTTTTGGGTGTTACAATTATGACTTCTAAGTGAAGTCTACGCGCTATCTTCGCAAAAAAAGAGAGGGGACAACGTTTTTCAAATTCACTAAGAAAAATTATAACTTCCAAAGCGAAGTCCACGCATTGCCTTCGCAAAACTTCAAGTATCAATATAAAACAAAGTATACAAAATTCAAATTTATTATAAAACAGAATCATCTATTACATATTACAACACAGGGAAGCAAGTTTACAACAAAATTCACAATCAATCACTTTCCGAAGCTACAATAGTTGCAGCTTCACTAATCAAGTCTTCAACAACTTTATCCAACACACGATCCACTTCTGAGCAAAGAAAATCTTCAGAAGCAAAGCTTGGCAAAGCACTTGAGCATGATGACTAGAAAAATAAGAGTGTCAAAATATGACCTTTCCAATTCAAATATCATGATAAAAAAGGGGGAAAAGGGAAAATCAATAACTACCTAGAAAAATTTGCTGAAGTCAACAACACACGAAACAAGGTTTCTTGTTTTCAACAATAAGATTTTTAGATTCAACATCTAAAATAGCATACGTCATCAGCAAAAATAATCACAACATCAAAAAACAAAGACATCATAATTTAATGCTTACATCAGCTTACGTTCAACAAATGTATCAAACGTAGGATTTGCCTCACTGGTTGCATACTACAACCACAATGAAGGTTCAACGACAAAGTTGTCCTTACACATTAACAACGGCATAACACCAACTTCATCCTACCTAGTTCAACATTTAAAATGTCAAAAGTATTTTAAAACTCCACCCCTCAACTTAAAATCTAAAAACTAACTACAAAGTTCTCCTTACACATTAACAATGGCATAACACCAACTTCTTAAGATAATTTTTCTCCTTTACAATCTTATCAAAATCTTTCTTTAAATTATCCAAATCTTCAATCTTTGTCTCAAGCTTGGCCTCAACGGAGATACACCTTGACTCCATATTATGTAGAGCTTCAACTGTTTCTACTCTTTCTTTTTCTTTAGCAGCAAGCTGAGATTTTAAAGATTTAATCTCCTCAAGCAAACTTTTCTCATGAAGTGCCGCATTCTTCACATCTTCTTCAAGAGATTTACGGACACTCCTTTGCAAAAGACCATTCTACAAAATATAAATCCACAAAAATATTAAGTTACAAAGCCAAATTAACATATGAAGTCAAACAAGAAAAAGACATACCTTGTAAATCATGGTAACACTTGCATCTGCCAACTCAAGGGAAGATTTCCTAGCAAGTTGAGCCTCATCAGCATCAGGAACTATGAAGGCATCATTAATATACTTTGACAACTTTAGCTCTAACTTCCTTGGCATAATGTGAAGTTTGTCCAAGATAATCCCTACAAATTTAAAAGTGTCTAAATTCACACCTTGAGCTTGGCAGTACTCCATGCATCTCATATATGCCTCAAAGTCAACTCCACCAGGAATTGTTTCCAAGGCTTCTGCAGGAGTAGCAGGCTCCTGAGCCACATCCTTCATTTTCCCAATATCAACAGTTGTCTCCTTAGATGAGGGATCAGGAAAAAAATCATCTACAACAAAAAGAAACCAAGTCTAAAATAAGAACAAAAGCATAAAATTCAAATCAAACAAAACAAAATAACAAGCAAAATTACCTGTGGAAACACCCTTTTCAAGTTGACATGCAACTTTCTCACCAGTGTTCACATCAATGGTAGACTCAGTAAGACGAGAAGCCCAGGCGTTTTCAACCTCTTCATCAAATACATCATCATTAGAATCATCAAAATCAAGGGTAACAGTAGTGGTACCCTTACCCTTGCAAACCTTAAATTTTGGAGCATCAGTCTCCACAAGCCCACCTCCCAAATCAATATTTTGCATCACAACTCGGGGAGGATAGGCAACATGAATAGTAGAACCAGCATCTCCAGCAGTTTCTTTCGAGTTTTAGCACCAAATCTTTGACAAGACGGTCCTGCAGTTTCCGTGAAGCCATAGTCACAATCTCAGCTTCTTTGGTCTGCGCCCCAGCAGCAGCATTGACAACAGTATCAGGAGCATCAACAATAGGAGATGAAGAAGGCAAAGTGTCTTCGCCAATATTTTTCTGAGACGAAGACAAGATACCCCCGCCAACATTTTCATCAGAATGAAAAGTACTCACCAAATTCTAGAAATAGTCACCAAGCGGAGTCAACACTGGTTGAGTCAAACAACTAGAATTAAAAACTAAACTAATCATTCTCACCTCATCATCATGAGCTTGCTGACTAAGAACCTCCTAACTGTCAACATCAAGACCCAAATCAACTTTATCTTATGCAACATTTTTTGAATCAAAAGATGCTGATACCTTTTTTTCTTGCTAGTCCTCTTAGCAAGTTGTCCACTAGCTCTTTTTTTCTTTGTAACATTTTCTATGCTCCACTTCGATGCACGAGTATACGCTGGTGGAGGTCTTTCATCATATTTGATCTGGGAAATTTCAAATATTCTATTTAGTGTCACACCCGATTTTAAGGATAAAATGGGATGCATAATCCTATGTGCGCCCAGAGATCAGTCACACACATTAGCCAACAAATTATAGATAGTATCATCACAAGTGTTTATGACGTCGCGAATAATATGACATAGTCTTCACATAAATACAGTAGAAGTATAAAGATAACTCTCTCGCGGAAGCTCCATAGCACAAGGACGTCAACTGGTTGACCACAAGTCTAGTAATCCTCAGGAAAGTCATCATTACCATTACAATATGTTACCCATCTAGCATTTTTATCGAAATAATGAAAATAAACAAGCATAAGTACATCTCGTACTCAACAAGTGTAACATGGGGTTCATGAGGCTCAAAGGCTTGACACAGGTTTAACAGCATTTAGCTTTTAGTTGTCATAATTTTAGCATAAGAGTAGCAACAAGATGCTTTAATCCCAAAGTAAAACACATGATCAATGTAAACATGAGTAATATATAGCAAAAACAATTACTTAATAGTGATCATCTATTTCATAAGGGTTCCAAGGCCACTCGTGACCGTGAGCATGGTAGTTATAACAGTTTTACACTCTGTAGAGGTTGTACACTTTCACTATGAGTCGTGATACACATATGCCCGGGTTTATAACTCCCAAAACACTTCCAAGGTGAGCAGGCAAGATACACTATGAAGCCTTTCAAAGGTTCGTCTAACAAGTTAGGGCCACTAGGTTTCCAATTGGCAAGCAGATATAGGAACCCTACCATCGAATGGCACAATTCCTTCATGGTTATACACATAAGAGTAGAGGCTATCCTATACCCATCTTGGCAAGCCCCTTTTGTGCCATAAAGGTAACCACTAACAAACTAGAAAAGGTCCTCATACTTGACTAAAGCCAGAGCCATCTAGTCCTCACAGTTGTACTATAAGTCCCGGATGATCACTTACAGATAAGTCCATAGGGAGAGGAATCTAAAGCATTTAGAAAGTAGCTAAACACTCTAGCCCCCTTTTTCCAAGTTGCTAAAAAGTCATGTTTTAAAGTTTATTGCATATACCATTAGTCAACTTACAAGATCATGGTTTAATTGAGCACTAGCAAATCTACCCAATGCATATCCCATAGGAGTCAAGGCATAAGTACAATTCTAGGAAATCCTTGTCAAGGTGACACATGCAAATATGGATTGATTATTAAAGTGAATAGGTAACAAGGATGATCCCATGCTATACTTGCCTTGATCAAAATGTTCCTGCTGATCCTGCTTGTTAAAGTAGTACTCTTGATCACCCATGAATTGCTCACCGTCTATACTTGATAATCACAGCAACATACAAGCATCCAGAGTAATCATGCATAGCAAACAAAGACTATAGATTAGAACAGTATACCAATAGCATAAAATCAAGATAAAAAGTTTGTAAAAAGAATCTACGTCTCGCTACGAACACACAGACGTGAAGATCACAAAAATCAGAGCTAATCGAACAATTTATGAATTAAACAAGATTTCCTTTAATAAAATAATAAATTAAATCTAACCTCAAATTTCAAAAGTTGAAAACATACTTAATAGTAGTATAAACATGTAGATTACGCAATTACGAATCTAACACAACTTGAATGGATCAAATTGGAGTTAAAACAAAGATTTTATGGCAAAACAAAATCAGTGGCAAATCTGTAAATAAGGAAAATGTATTTTGAATCAAACAGAGGAATTCTACGCTTTTAGAAAGAGAAAACATATTTTGTGAATACGTTATAGACTGTGGGTTCTATTTATATAATACAGAGGGTCCCTTTAGCAAAATTAGCAGGTGAAAGGGTACAGTGAGATCTAAGCCGTTAGATCTAAGCTAGACGGTTTAGATTAGAAACGGGGAGGAAGAGAGAGAGGCTGCCAGCTGAAATAGTGCCAGGCACGGAGGCTTCCATGATCAGTGGTGAAGGAGCTCACTAGCAAAACTGATTAGGGCGCTACAGGGCTCAGTTTCACCTAGAAAAAGTACAAGGGGGCAAGAGGGGAAGACGGAGAACTCACCATGGCAACTTACAGTGGCGAGGAGCGGATAGAAGCGGCGCGCAGCTTGGGATGGCAGGTGGTGGAATTCCTGTGAGCAACGGCGATGCGGTGTGAGCAAACCAGAGTGAGAAAAAGAAAAAAAGAGGCTCGGCGGCTTCGCAACCTCGATGTGAAGCTCAAAAATGGCTTATGGTGGCGGCGTAGCAGCAAGGCGAGCACGGCAGCGTTGAGCTTCTACTCGGCGAGATCTAAGTGGTGGCGCTAGGGCTCAAGGTGACGTGGGGGCTAGCATTAGGGCTCGGTAGGGAGGCGACGGACATGGGGCTGCTATTTAAGGGGGCCTCAACGTGTGGGTCACGCGAAAACGCCATGGAATTAGGGCAGCGCCGGACTCCGATCGGAACAGAGTCCGGTTCTAGGATGAGCATGAGGTGGGAGATGGCACCAACATGCGGGCTTGGGTGGCAGTGACATAGGGTGCGGCACCATGGTGTCAGCGAGGGAAGAGATGGAGCGGCGCCCGTGCTGCTGGCAGGGTCGGCCTACTTGCGTGGCCTACGGAAGAAAGGGAAAGGGAGCGGGCTGCCGCTGCTGGAGGGAGAAATGGACCGACAGGGTGCATTGGGCTATGCGGGAAAAACAAGACCGAGCAGGCCAGAATCAGTGAGAGGGAGAAAGAAAAGGAAGAAAAAAATTCCTTTTCATTTTCTTAAACTCATTTTCAAATCCAAATTCAAATCGAATTTAATTTCTTTTGAAATTTTGATCAAACCCAATCATCACAAAATGAATATGCAGCAGCATGTATGCACAAACATATAGCTAGACCTTATAGTTGATTTTAATTTTAACAAAAGTTATTATTTTTCTAAGTTTAAATGCTCACAAAATGCATAAATAAATCATTTTAAACTATTTTGAAAACATGCAAATTTTAGTGTGTTACAATTCTATCCCCCTTAAAATGAATCTCGTCCTCGAGATTCGGCTGGTGCTTACTCAAAAAGTTGCGAATATGATTTATGTAGATCCTCTTCTCTTTCCCAAGTAGCCTCATCCTCGGTATATCGGTTCCACTGAACCTTACACATCTTTATAACTCGACTCCTTGTAACTCTTTCTACCATCAGGGTTGGGCGACGGGGGCCCACCAATCATAGTTAGGGTTGGGCACCCCCGATCAGGGCACGGATCAAGGCCTAGTTGGTCATTGGGCCAAACTGGTGGGATCAATCTAACATTCTTTCCCTTGATCTCACCTTATAACTTAAACTTAACTTACTTTATCTTGTTCCTATTCCATCATAGATCAGAGCATAGAGCGTGCCTCATCATCATGGTATGTTGCCATTAGATTAAATAGCTACAATGCACCTCTCTATTTTGAAACAGATTCTCAACTAGGCCCTCATTGTCTAGGAATCATAGGCTTTCCCTTAAACCCATGCCGGCTAAGTGTTCTCTGAACATGCTGGGTGGCAAGCCTTTTTCAAGCGGATCCACGAGCACCTTTTATGTTCTTATATGCTCAAGACTAATTATATGATCCCATACTTTATCTTTCACAACATAATACTTTATGTCAATGTGTTCGGTAGCACTACTTGACTTATTGTTATGAGCATAACATACTGCAGGATTATTATCGCAGTATAACTTGAATGGTTTATGTATGTCGTCTACCACTTTCAACCCGAGCATGAATTTCTTCAACCAATTCACCTGCCCTGTGGCCTCATAACATGCTACAAACTCGGCATACATTGTGGACGATGTAGTGACGGTTTGCTTTGAGCTTTTCCACGATATAGCTCCTCCTGCGAGAGTGAATATGTATCCTGACGTGGACTTTCTGTCATCTCCCACATAATCAGAATCTATATACCCCTCTATGTGTAGGGAATCAGATCTTCTGCACGTTAGCATGAGACCCTTCGTACCTTGCAGGTAACACAAAACTTTCTTTACTAATTTCTAGTATTCTATTCTTGGATTACTCTGATATCTGCCAAGTAACCCAGTAACAAATGCTAAGCCAGGGCGAGTACACACTTGAGTATAATGTAAACTTCCAACAGCTGAACTATATGGAACCGATTTCATTTGATTGATCTCATATTGGTTCCTAGGACATTGAAATTCCCCATATCTATCGCCCTTAACTATGGGAGTAGGTGAAGACTTACAATTTTGCATACTGTATTTCTTTAGAACTTTTCTAAGTATGCCTTTTGTGATAATCCTAAAACCCCCTTTTCTCTATCTCGGTGAATCTCTATTCCTAGGACGAACAAAGCTTCACCGAGATTCAAGATGGCAACGGGTACGTACCCGATGGGTACTGGCCACCCGTACCCGCACCCGCC